TCTCTCTCTCTCTCTCTCTCTCTCTCTCTCTCTCTCTCTCTCTCTCTCTAACACTGTTGTTAAATATAAAGTTTTGCAACAAACCTTCAATTTATATCAAATATAATTAAAAATTAACAAATGAGTACATTGTATCAAAAAGTAGGAAGATATACACTTCATGCACATACTGGAATAACATATATATGTGTATATTCTACATGCACACATGACTTGTTCAAGGTCAGCCGCTGCTTGACAGGTTCCAGATGCAGACAGCTGGCTGATGCATTTCAAATTTGGCAACTCACTGTAAGACTTCAAGGGAAACAGACGATAGCTTGAAAAGAGACAGTACAGAAACAAACCCGAAGTCAAAAAGGCAAGCCCTGATGTCCCCTTCCCCCACCTTGCAACTGCCATGAATGCCAATGCCTAGAAGGATCCAGGCCAGCCAGCTAGGTTGTGTGGGTCTAGAAAAGAGGGCTCTTGACCCAGGACTGCCCAGAGAGACAGCTGTGGTTCTACATGGAATGTGTGCATTCGGCACCCAAGAACACGGGCTAGGGCAGGAACAGAGACAAACACCAGTATCAAAATGCACAGCCCTCTACTTGCCACACAAGTGCAGAGTCACATGCACAGTCCAAGATTCCTGCTTAATTTTATCCTATTGGAATAAAATATTCTGCTAATTGTTAAGTTTCAGAGTGTTGTGCCTTCACATAAGGAAATTCTATAAAAAGGTTTGGTCACAATCATGCTGAAACCCCAGACCAGGCGGTGGGCCTGTGTGTTTGTTTCTATTGAATGTGTCTTTTGTTGCATAGCCCTATGGTTGTCGACACCACTCAGTGACACACCTGCACACGCCCGTCACCTGTGAGCACACACGCACACACACCCACAAAGCTTCTTTGAGGAGACTCATGGGGTAGGATCCAAAAGTCCCAGAGAGGTCCTCTGAAGTTTCAAGACACGGAGGACACGGCCACGGACTCACCCACACATGCCCAGTGGTGAGCCACTTTCTCTTTGGAGAGCGGCCATGAGGTCAGGTTTTGTTTGGGTTGGGACCCCTGCTGGGCTTGCACACCCAGCCTCAGCCCAGGAGTCACTTCTCCCCTGCCAGTCCCCTCCGGCAACCTGCTCCCTCCTGCCTGATGGCCCGACACACAGCCCTCGGTCAAGTCTCCCCTCCCCACGGGCCCTTCAATCTCCTCAGCCTTCGGTGAACACTTCACACACAGAGATCACGCCCTCCTTGGCAGGCATCCGTCCCTGAGAATCAGACATAGAACAGACTGAAAGTGCCTCACTCAAGCACATGCCCTGCAGCTCTGCGGCTTCCTAGAACCTCCTCACTGCGGGAGGTTCACAGGGCAGTCACCTGTCACCAATTGTGATGTGCTGCTGTCGTCCAGGGCTACCAGCTTTCTACCTGTTGGCCACTATGAGCAGTTTTCACACAATCCACCCGATGGTTCAGAGGACTCGCCCAGCGTGTGATGCCAGGAGCCAGAGGTCAGGCACTTGGTCGAGCGGTAGAGCCAGGGCGGCCGGGGAAGGACCGAGCTGGGGAGTCCACACAGGAGCACATAGCAGTGGAGACCTTCCTACAGGTTGGTTTTTAAAGTCAACATTTCCTCCCCTGCTTTTCTATGTTCCAGATCAAGTATACAGAAATGACAGTGAAGGGTGCTGCAACCAGAAGCCGACAGCAAGAGCATTCTCCAGACTTAGTCCCTTCGGGGCAGCAGAGTCCAGGGACAGATAAGAGTGTGACTCTACGCCATCTGCGGTTCAGTGGCAAGAGCAACAGCAGTGTGTGAGCAGGAGGCCTGCTGCCGGCCACAGCTGGGCTCTTTCCACGCTCTCAGGCGTGCCCGGCCCGCCAGCACACATTGGGATGTGAGTGCTCCCCACGAGACTCAGGCCTCCTCAACGAGGTTCTGGGCACCTGCTCTGGATGCTGGAGGCCAAGACCTGGGATTTGGACCCATCAGGTCTGTCTCAGCTCAGCCATGCCCTGCTTAGGCTCTGACGTGTGGCATGAGACCCAGGGAGGCAGAACACGAGGGGTTAGAGAGCCATGTCCCTCTAAGAAGGGCTTTATTAGTCCATCCAGTGTAAAAGAGGAAGAAGGAGAGAGGAACGGGAGCCTCCACCAAGGAGGTGCATGGCGGGCCCCTCCTCCTAGGGCTGCGGCCCTGAAGCCCAGCATGGATGATAAAACTCATCAACGGGAACCCGCAGGTGCCTGCCACATTGAGGCGCATGGTCTCCGTGCAGCTAGCACCAGTGGTCTTGGTCTGGGTGGTGGTAGCTGTGCCGCGCCCGGCTGCCAGTGCCGAGTCCCAGAGTGCAGTGGTAGCCGTTGGGCACACGGCGGAGAGGGTGGGACTGAGAGGTCAGGGAAGACACATAGGAAGTCCTGGAGGAGCGGCCTGAGTTGGTGGCCACGGCCTCCTCAAAGGTGAGTGTGTCCTCAGGCAGGGTGTGGGCAGAGGCCTCGCTGTCCATGCGCTGCCCCAGGTAAGGGTCAGAGCTGATGCGAGAGCCTGGAGCCAGGGGCTGGCTCAGGGGGTCTCTCTGGAGCAAAGCATTGTGTTCAGAAAGCCCACGGCTGAGCCGGCCTGGGGAGAAGGCCGGGAGGCCACTCTGAGCCCCAGCAAAGTGGACAGGGGAGGAGTTGGCCGTCTTGTAGGTGATGCTGGGGCGGGGAGTCAGGGGTGTCTGGGGGAGCTGCCTCCGCCCACCTCGGCCCGGGGTGCTAGCACCAGATGTTGACAGCAAGGGGCTCCCGTTAATTGAACCACTACCCTACACAAAAAAAGAGCAGCAAACAAAAAATAAAACCAAACCAAACAGACACAGTGTGCAGCACAAGGCAGCAGGGGTCATGAGGCAGGAGGGAGGGCAGTGGGGGATGGCCCTTTCCCATAGCACAGCAAGGCAGGAGGTAAAGAAGTGGTTGGGAGAGCAGCAAGCCCCTGGCACAACCACGCAGGGACAGCAGCTGGAGTGCAGGCTGAGTGGGCAGCAAGGAGCAGTGCAGCTCAGGCCCTTCAGGCAGCAGGCGGCAGGCAGAGCAGGGCGGCTGGGTGGTCTGGGGAAGGAGTTGAAAGGGGCCCACACACCCTGCCACTCACCTGTGGTGGGGGTCCCGGCTCCCCTGCTGTTGGGGACGTGGGGTGGCTGCTGAGGGAGGGCTTGGGCTGAGGGTGCTCACGGCCTCCAAAGCGGTCACAGGAGTAGAAGCGCTGCTTCTCTGAGGAAGAGGACGAGGGCTGCCTCCTCTCCTGGGACCGGCCTCGCTCCTGCTTGCGTTCCCGTTCCCGCCGGCAGCCTGTGGGCCCCTCTCCTGGGGGCAGGCTGGGCCCTGCAGCGCTGTTTGGTGCTGGCCAGGAAGAGGAGAAGTCAGCTCAGTTGGGCCCAGCATAGGCAGGAAGACCTTTCCAGACCCAGTCCTCACAGGGAGCAGGACACACCTCAGCGGTGCTGGGGAAGGGAAGCGGGTGGCATGTGGTCCTGACTGGTCCCCAGACCTAGAACTCACTCCTCTTACTCTAGCCCATTTTGGGGCCATGAGAGACACCAAGGAAGAGGATTCCTGTGGGCTGTTGGGATCCCCCAGATCAAGCCACAGCCCCATAACAGGCAACCCAGGCCCCTCCACACGCACCGCCATCTGTGTCGGCATGCTGGCTGGACCCCTTCTCCAGGGACCTCTGCTTCTTGTCCCTACGGCGGTGGCAGCGATGGTGGTGGTGATGTGGTGCCTGGCTGGGGGGAGGGCGGTCCAGGGTGGTGTTGCAGAGGTGGCCCCCGTGTGAGCGCTGGGCCAACGTGGAGATGGAGCGCTTCATGGGGCTGGCATCTGGGGCTGGCTGTGGGCAAGGAAAAAGGACAAGGAGGTGCGTGGCCTGGGCCTGGGGAAGCACAGGGCTGCAGGTAAGGCAGGCCCGGGGAGAAGAGCAGCCCAGGCCCAGTCAGAAGGAACCTGCTGGGAGTCACAGGTGCCTGGCGCTGTGTGCAGCCAGGAGTGGGGCCACTGGCCTAGGTAGAGAATCCCAAGTGGGGCCCAGAGCTGCCTAGGGATCATTTTCCTCAATCTGTCAGAGAGACTGGTCCCTGAAGCTGCCCCCAAGCCTGCACTATGGAAAGCGGCTCTCCCTGTGGGGCTGGGGCACAGCCAACCCCCATGGAGGATGAGAAAGCTGCTCTACACTTGGCCACTATGGGGGCTTCAGGGCAAGAGGCAAGAACAGCAAGAAGAAAGAAAGGATAGTGAGGGTCAGGGTGAGCACCGGTTAGGCTTAGGTTAGGCCACGAGTAAGGACATGCAAAGAGCAGAAGAGACAATGTCCCGAACCAGGAGCCACAGGAAGGAGGTGTGGGCAGCAGGAGGAGACATGCAGCCAGGCAGCCCTGAGTGTCAGGGTAGGGGCTCAGGCCCCCGCAGTCCCTCCAAGCAGACCCCTCTGTGTCCTTGGGAAGGTGCTTGTCCCAGAATGCACACAGAGACTCAGCCCCTTGAGCTAGGTACCCTGCTCCTTAGTCACATGCACCACAGACGCAGGGGTCCAGAAAGACAAGAGGGTCAGGGGCCAGGACAGGCCAGGTGGGCGGAGGAGGCACCAGAAACCGTTTCCTGGACCCAGGCAGTGGCTGTGTGGCCACAGTGGAGTCCCAGGGAGGGCATAGATGGGGACACAGTGCTGAGGGGACACAGAACTGGGGAGCAGACACCACAGCTAATAAAGATGGAGAATGGGCGGTATGGCAGATGGGGAGGAACACAGATCAGGGACCAGGTCCTTTACGTCCCCTAAAAGGCCGAGCACATGCAAGAGGTGGACTGCCCTGTGCAGCCCGCAGTGCCCTGGAGGACCATGGGGCTACAGTGTCAGGCTACAGGGGCTACCCATGGAGTCTCCTGTGGGGCTGCTTGGGGACCCTGCTTCTCCCCACCCTAGGTCTCCTCACTCAAAGGACTCACGGGGTAAGGCCCTCACTCACCCTCACCCTGGACACACCCCTCCGGACTACTCACCTGTGTTTCTGCTGCCAGGCGGGGCATGGAGGCAGCCCGGCCCTGGCTCTCCAGCCCAGGTTGGGGCTCCCCATCAGGACCCCTCAGTGCCATGTTCTGCATCTGTACATCCGCAGCCTGGGGGGACAGCAGCCTCCTAGTCACACCCCACAAGGCACGGTCTTACCCACCCCCACCCCATCTCATGTAACCCCCTCCAGGGAGGGCTCACCAGTGTTCCTGGCTGCCCCACAGGGATCTCTGCTGAGTGGCCACGTTCCAGGGGTGCCCTAGCCTCATAAAGTGCATCCTGGGTCCTCTGAGTGCCCCAGGACACGGACTCCTTGATGCCACTCTCTTGAGTTTGTCTGCAGAAGAGAAGAAGGATGCTCTGTAGGGACAGAACACAGGCTGCAAAATGCCTACTGAGGAGTCCTCACGGGCTATCCTCAGCAAGGCCAGGGGTTCGGCCACCTCTCCATGTGAAATGAGTCCTCTCCGTCATAGGAGCCCCAGCCTGGCTGTGCAGGCTGGAACCAAGTGCAGGCCCTTTGCAGAGCTCAGGCCCATGACAGTCAGAGCTGGGGGGGCGGGGGGCTCCAAGGGCAGAGAAGCCTCAGAGTGCTCATTCTGAGGGAAATCTGTACCTGTCACCTCCTGATCCAGGGACAATCAGCAAGTTCCTCAAGCCCACAAGGGCTCATCTGTGAAATGGGTGCAGGGCTTGTCCCTCCTGACAAACGGCAGACGCTGGCCCCAGTGCTGGTCCTGGGCTTCCTTTCTCAGGGGTCCCCTGCTGGCAGCTCCTGACTCGCTGAACCCCAGCCTGAGGGCCTTCCCAGCTTTCTGCTGTCTGCTCAGGCATCCACCCACATAGGCCTGCTTGCTCCCGACCGACCCTCACTATGCACTGGGTCTGCTGGGAGAGCTCCCTCGCACTGGTGATCCTGTCACAGACTGCAGCACGGCCCCCACTGAGCGCAATGGAGAGCGCCAGCCTTGCTGACCACAGTGGCGATACTGGCAGCAGGCCAGACCTGCCCCTGCAGGGTTTCTGGGAGGAATGGCCTCCATCTTCCAAGGGTTTTGCAGGCACCCTCCACACTGAGTGTGTAGGCAGCCCCTGAAGACTGGCACTGGGAGGACAGCAGGGCTGGACCTGGATCTGACAAACCTAGTGAGCTCAGGTGCTTTTTTTACCCTCTAAGAGCCACATCTGCCACCTGCAGGGTACCTGATTCTGAACACCTGGCCCAGAGCAACCCAAGAGACACACCCCCATACGCCCAGGCACATACCTACACTCGTCCAGGCACAGGCTCCCCAACACTCACCAGGCACACCCCATACACACACACACAACGCCCAGGCACGGGCTCCCCAACACTCACCAGGCACACACCTACACATGCCCAGGCACGGGCTCCCCAACACTCAGCAAGCACACCCCCGCCGCACACACGCCCAGGCACAGGCTCCCCAAAACTCACCAGACACCCCCCCACACACACACACACTCACCCAGGCACAAACCCTCACCCCCCACATGCCCAGGCACACATGACCCCCCACACACACCCAGGCACATACCCTCCCTTCCCCCACACACCCAGGCACACATGCCCCCCACCCCACATGTCCAGGCACACACACTCTCCCACACACACCTGGCACACACCTGTAAGGATTCTTGCTGTGGAAATGTACAGGACAGCATTCCTCTAGTGAGCAAACTCCAGGAAGGTAATCGGCACCCTTTTTCCACCCTTGGAATATTTTGCAGTTTCCCCAGGAACTAGTAAGATAACTAATACATGTGCAGTGCCTGGCTGCTGTGGCAGTGCCCTGCCTGAGGAGGCTCTGTGCTAGAGTCTTATCAGTCTCCACCCTGTCTCAGGCATTCAGCTCCTGGGAATAAAGGAACTCTCTCATTAGACAACCACAATGTTTCATCAAGCTATGCTCAGCCTGAACCTGTCCGCGAAACAGTAACTTTAAACAATGGATTTTCTTGAGAGCTACACAAAGCTCCTCATATTGCACATTGCAACTATAGTTTGTAACTGAGGAATAAGGTGCATATTGTTGCTAACTCTGTAACCTGCCTAATGACGCAATGAACACTAATGCACTACTGATGCCAGTGACTAATATGACCTGTTGATAAAAATAAGGCTGGCAACTTGAACAAGGAGCTCGCTGCCTTTCTGCCATCCTGCCACTTTGACTCTGCACCTGGATTCTGTCTCCTTTTGATCTTCTTATACACACCCTCCCCTCCACACACCCAGACACACATGCCCTCTAACACACACTACCAGGCACACATGCTAACACATACTCATGTACACACATGCACACATCTGTATACACACTCTCTCCATAGACACACATGCACGCACATGCATACCCTTGGCACATGTCCACACTGTCACATATGTTCTCACACACTCAAGTTCATTCACTCTTACATACTCATACATCTGTAACACATACTCTTACACACAAACATACAATGAATCATCTGTTTAATTGTAAATGCAAACCTGGAGTCCCCAACCCACTTGCAGCAAGGAGAGCATAGAATGGGTGCTGTAGGGCTGGGCCAGGCCAGGACGGCTCTTCCTCATAGCACTTGAACTCTGCATCCTCCTCTGCACTGCCCACTACCCACAACTGGACACAGGCCTGCTGTACAGTGCTTGGGTGACTAGGTTGCATTCCTCTGGGCAGGAGCACAGGTTCTAGCAGGGTCTGCATCCTGGGTGCCTGCCACTCATTGAGCCAGTGCAAGGCAGCTGGGCCCACTGGTGATGACAGGTGACAGACAGCATACACCTCACAAACCAAAGCTGTCCAGGAAGCCTGCAAGAGCCCTGCCCCGTGGAGACTGCCCCACCCCTCAGGGAGAGATGATGGCTTTGGCACTAAGTGATATGGCAAAAGTTAAGTGATAGAAAAGACATGACCGATCTGTGTATGAAATACAATAACCTCAGAAATCAATTCCAAAATGGGGATCTAGGACAACATGTGGAGGAGCCAGGAGGAGAGAACACTGACAGGCAGACAGAAAGGGTGGGCTTGAGGTGGGGCAACAGCTTCTGATGGTCTGCAGGCACCAGAGCAGAAGCTGGAGGAGAGAGAGGAGCACCTGTCGCCAAGCTGTCCTAGCTGGCAGCTCTATGCTGCTGCCTGAAATCGCAGGAGTCACCTGCAAGTCCACCCACAAACTTGGCGAGTGGAGAACCACTCATGGTGACGATTATCCCAGGCTTCCCTGCAGCACACCAGAGGGCATCTGGCTGCACCCACAGTAGAGTGGGCAGGTGGCCAGGGCCAGTCCCTGAAGCCAGGATGGGATCCAGGGGCTCCCATCCTTGGGAGCCATCAAGGTTCCCAATGAGCCCCTCAGGGAGCAAACCTGAGGCCAGCAGGAAGTGAGAGCCAGGCAGGGTAAAAAAATGGAATTTTGCTTCCTCTCCCACTGGCTCTGGGCCCCCTGCAGCCCACCCCATCTGCACATGGCACTCACATGGCCCCACCATTGCTGAGGGACGTAGAGCTCTTCTGCCGAAGGAAAACCCGAGCTCCTCGGAGTACAGCTGGCTGCGTCTGCTCCAGGGTGGCCTTCAGAGGGTGGAACAGGGACACCGGGCCCATCTGTGAAGGGCACAGGAAGAGGGACTGCTCTAGGGGCCAGCCTGGTGGACCTTGACGTGCCCTCAGCATGGAGGTCGCACATGGCATGTGATGGAGCCAGTTCCCACCCAAGCCCAGCTCAGAGCTCCCTGTCCTACAGTGAGGGGCCCCTTGCTTTCCCTGTTCCGCCTCCAAAAAAGAACATGTGATCAGAGCAGTGGGTGGGGAACCCTCACACCTCCTACAGGTCTGCCCCGTGAGTGGCTTTGGCAGAGCTCACCACTCCTGAGAGTCAGGGTCCCTCCTACAAGTCAGGGTCCAGACGGCTACAGACAGTAGAGCAGCTTCATGTCCCCTCAACTGCAGGACTGCTGCCTGGAGCTCTGGACTGGGTGTGCATGCCATGCACGGGAAGGGGTGCAGTGTGAGCACCAGGTGTCCCATCCACAGTCTGGCGAGTACCCTCGGAAGCTGTGCAACTACAAAACTTTCCAGACAGAGCCTCCATGTGCCCACTAAAGACACAGCTGTGACAGCACCAGAAAGATGGACCCAAAACCTTCCTAGTCAGAGCCATGTGCAGCACCAGCAGTGGCCCTACCTACATGCAAGAACAACAGGTTCTCCTCCCACCTGCTAAAAAACCCTCCTCAGACACTTGGCATCTTTCTCCCATTGCCTATCACAGAGCCTCTATCCTCAGCCCTCTTTCTTCTGCCCCTTAAGAGCAGCTCTCCAGCTCAGGAGCTCCATGATACCACCAGGCAACAGTCCATGGAGAGCAGGAAACTGGGGTAGAGCCTCCTCCCGCTGCTGCACTCTCTCTAAGCAGGGTGCAAATCTCTCCACTGCCCAGTTCCCAAGAGGCCAGGGCTTGTAGGCATGAGTGCTGCTTTCCTGGAATCCTGAAGCCAGGTACCTGGGATAAGCCTCCTGGAGCTTGGTGAATCTGATCTCTTGTGGTTTTGTTCTGTTTGTAGAAGTCGAATATCATCAGCGCTGCATAGACTTTCCCCACCGTCATCTCATCAGCTAGAGAGAAGAGCAGGCAAGGGAGGACTCAGAGGTGGAGGTGTGGAGGAAAAAGAGCACAGAAAACATGGGCAGAGTGAGGTAGTGAGGCAGGCCCTCTCCTTCCCCTCCCACCCCCTACATGGACTTTGGGACATGCCCTCAGGCTGAGGGACTCTCAGGCCATAGCTGCTCAGCTTCTTGAACCCTCCAGATGCTGCAGTTGTCCCACCTGGTGTGGGGCTGATGTGCCCCCACCTTGGCCACACCAGGGCCCTCCAAGATAAACTCTTCCTCTTTCATATCCTTAATTAGGATCCCTTCTGCCTTTCCCTGGATGTCTTACAATCCATTCTCACACTAGGAGGACTCCAGACTACCTCCCACATCCCTGAGCCATCCAGTGTCCCTGCCAGGGGGACCAGGGGAGAAGACCACCTCTGCAAGACAAGATACCCTTGCTTCTCCCTCCCTGCCTCAGAGGGACGGGGCAGATGCGGGTAGAGGGCATTTCTTGCCCTCCCACTCACGCTTGTGAGGTGGCACCAGCAAGTCCAAGGTCTTCTGGGGCAGATTGGCCCAAACAGAGGAGATCTCCTTCCTCAGCTCTGCGTCACACTGGTGCTGCTTTGCCCCAGCTGGCAAGGGCGATTGAGGAGGGAAGACAAATGTTAGAAGCAATCCTGAAGCCCCCCACTCAGGCAGAACTAGGACAGGCAGAGGGAAGGAAAGATTTGGGGGGAAGATGGGATGCAGAAGGTGCTGGAAGAAAAAGGCACAGTAGGAAGAAGCACCAGTGTGGAGACTGGCCAGAGCCATCTGAAAAGCACCCAGCCAGCAGGAATATGTGGGCACATGTGTGAAATGTGCCCCATGTGTGCTGCTTGTATGTGCAATGTGCTGCCTGTGTGTGCGTGTGCACTGCCTGTGTGTGCAGGGTGCTGCCTGTGTGTGCAACTGTTCTGCTTGTGTGTGCAGGGTTCTGCCTGTGTGTGCATCTGTTCTGTTTGTGTGTGCAGGGTGCTGCTTGTGTGTGCAGGGTGCTGTCTGTGTGTGCATCTGTTCTGCTTGTGTGTGCAGTGCGCTGTGTGCATGTATGTTGCCTGTGTGTGCTGCCTGTGTGCATGTGTGCTGAGTGTGTGTGAATGTGTGCTGCCTGTGTGCAGTGTGCTACTTGTACGTGAACATATGCTGCCTGTGTACAGTGTGCTGCCTGTGTACAAAAGTATGCTACCTGTCTGTGTAGTGTGCTGCCTGTGTACACAGTGTGCTGCCTGTTTGTGCAGTGTGCTGCCTGTGTGCAGTGTGCTGCCTGTGTGTGCAGTGTGCTGCCTATGTACACAAGTGTGCTGCCTGTCTGTGCAGTGTGCTGCCTGTGTGCAGTTTGCTGCCTGTATGTGCTGCTTGTGTGTGCATGTGTGCTGCCTCTTTGTGCTGCCTGTGTGTGCTGCTGTGTGCATGTGCACTGCCTCTTTGTGCTGCCTGTGCGCATGTGTGCTGCCTGTGTGTGCTACTGTGTGCATGTGCGCTACCTCTTTGTGCTGCCTGTGTGTGCTGCTTGTGTGCATGTGTGCTGCCTCTTTGTGCTGCCTGTGTGCATGTGTGCTGCCTGTGTGCAGTGTGCTGCCTGTGTGTGCTGCTTGTGTGCATGTGCGCTGCCTCTTTGTGCTGCCTGTGTGTGCTGCTTGTGTGTGCATGTGTGCTGCCTGTGTG